GTACTGATCTGAAAGTGCATGTTCAGACTGGTTAAATGGGTGTGAATTGGACAGAAGAAGGTCCAGGCAAGCCTTGGGGAGATACCTTGCAGCCGTGGTCCGGAAAAGAGGAGCTTCCCTGCAGGGCCTTCTCCTGTTCCCTCCCAGGTCCATTTACCTCTGCTTCTGCTTCGGGAGGTGAATGTAGCAGGTGTCCCCACCTAGAGCTGGTGAACAATGAAGTCATATCGCTGTGTCTGCCCAACAGTATTCTGATTTTACTTTCCTTGAAGTTTGCCTATGGGGAAATAATGCACCAATGACAGGATTCGAGTGTCTACTCTTTTCAGCAGTTATATATTTATAAGTAGGGAATTCTGGTTTAGATATAAAATTAAAACTTTATATTGTAGAAATATCTTATGACTACTTACACAAAACTTGAGATCAATAAATTGACTAGAATTAAAAAAAAAAAAGACTATGAGCTTGCAACAGTTACCATCTCATGTACTTGTCTATTAGCACACCTTTATTGAGCTCTGACTATGTAGAATTTTAGCTCTATGAGGGCAGTGATTGTGTTCAATTTTGTTCACTATTGTAGAATAAAAGAAATAAAAAAGAATGAGAGAAAAGAAGAGAAGGAAAGAGGAAGACAAAGCAGTATGCTAAGTGACATGAAGACTACCTCTAAGAATATTATATTTAGGGAGAAGATAGATATGTAAACAAATAAATAAAATGAAATATTATAAATCATTATAATTTAAAAGTTGTATAGATATGGTGAGGTTACAAAGCAGTGGTTAATTCTATCTGATCAGTGATGGGAGCAAACTGAAGTGGGTTATGAAAATGTTTAGAGAGACAAGGCTATATTAGGACTTTTGTGGGCCCTAGAGCACTCTTGGTTTGTAGTCTCCTTCTTCCATAAAATACATTTAAATATAATTATAGTACAACAAGATGAGCATAATTATCTGATCATTCTAGAAGTGCATAGCCAGGAGGTCTAACAAATATCTCCAGGAAGGCAAGATGTTTAAGTAATAGAGACTCTAAAGATAAGCTACAGGGGTGGCTGAGAGACAGGGAAGAGAGTTCTAGGTAGAGGGAACAGATTGCTCAAAGGCCTAGAAGTGAGGGAACTATTTGATGAAAGAAAGGCAAAGAGACAGAAAGGGGAGAAGGAGTTAGAGATTAAGTTAAAGAGGAAAATGAAGGTCAAACCACAGTTGGCCCTGTGTTAAGAAGTCTGGTTTTATCCTAAAGATAAAAAGAAGCCATTTAGACTTCCGGTCAAGATGGCATGGCGGCGTAGGTAAACGCGGTATCGCGTCCTCCCAAACCACATCAAAGTTACAACTAAACTACAGAACAACCATCATTCAAAACCGCCTGAAATCAAGCTGAATGGAAGTCCTACAACTACGGAATTAAAGCAGCAGCCACATCCAGACTGGTAGGAGGGGCGGAGGCGCAAGAGGCTGCTACCGCGGCAGTGTGACAGGCTGGTCCCACACCCACATGTGGTGGATAAAAATCAGGAGGCTCCCGTGGCTGGGAAGGTCCTCCCTGAGGACTGAGGGATCCCCGTCCCACACCAGGTGCCCCACTCAGGGTTCCAGTGCCAGGAAGAGAAGCCCCATAACTTCTGGCTGAAAAAACCAGCGGGAACTGAGGCTCAGGGAGGCCGAGGCGGCTGGAGCCCCAGGCAGCTCCCTAAAGGGCCAGCGCACGGACTTATTGGACTCTCTCCCCCTAAGCTCAGAGGGGAGGCAGCTCCACGGGCGCCAGAGACATACAGGGAAGAACTGAGCTGTTTGGCACTGGAGCGAGGGCTGGAGAGGGGGCTTTCTCCTGGACAAACGTGCTGTCAGAGGCCTTTGTTCCTTTGGTGAACCCTTCCCTGGGGCGGCAGACAGCCACCATATCTGGGACTCCAGCAACCTGGCTCACACCGGTAGCCCCGCCCTGCTGACTCCCTGAGGCCCCACCCCGCCCCACCCAACTTTCAAGCCCACCCAACTTTCAAGCCCACCCAAGCTGTTGCCACTTGCTTAACCATAGGATTGGCCGGTCTTGGATCCTGCTTCAGGTTTTTCCTAAATTCTTTCAAACAAGCAGCATCTGGTCTCAGCGAGCCCCATACCTCTCATTAAGTAATACACTGAAACAAACACAGGGAGGCAGCCAAAATGAGGAGACAAAGAAACAGGTCCCAAATGAAAGAACAGAACAAAACCCCAATAAAAGAACTAAGCAAAATGGAGATAAGCAACCTAACAGATACTGAGTTCAAAATACTGCTTATAAGGATGATCAATGAACTTAGTGAGAACCTCAGTGAACTTAGGGAGGGCCTCAAGAGCATAAAAAAGGACCAGTTAGAAATCATGGATACACAGTTAGAAATGAAGGAGGCATTAACTGAAATAAAGAATAATTTACACAGCTTCAATAATACAGTACGTAAATCCAAGCAGCAAACCATCGATTTGGAATATAAGGAAGCAAAAAATGCCCAATCAGAACAGCAAAAAGAAAACAGAATCCAAAAAAATGAGGATAGTGTAAGGAGCCTCTGGGACAACTTCAAGCGTGCCAACATTCGCATCTTGGGGGTGCCGGAAGGAGAAGAGAGAGAACAAGAAATTGAAAACCTGTTTGCAACAATAATGGCAGAAAACTCTCCTAACTTGGTGAAGGAAACAGACATACAAGTCCAGGAAGCACAGAGAGTCCCAAACAAGATGAACCCCAAGAGGCCCACACCAAGACACATCATCATTAAAATGCAAAAGGTTCAAGACAAAGAGAGAATCTTAAAAGCAGCAAGAGAAAGGCATCTAGTTACCTACAAGGGAGTTCCCATTAGGCTGTCAGCTGATTTCTCCAAAGAAACTTTGCAGGCCAGAAGGGAGTGGCAAGAAATATTCAGAGTGATGAAAACCAAGAACCTACAACCAAAATTACTCTATCCTGCAAAACTGTCATTTAGAATCAATGGGCATATAAAAACTTTCCCAGACAAGAAAAAGTTAAAGGAGTTCATCACTACCAAACCGTTATTATATGAAATGATGAAGGGTCTTTTTGAAGAAAAAGATAAAGTGTATGAACAAACAAAATGGCAATGAATACATATCTATCAACAATGGAATCTACAAACAAAATGAACAGGAAGAACAGAAACATTCTCATAGATACAGAGAACATTTTGTTGGTTGCCAGTTGGGAGGGGGGTTGGGGGAATGGGTGAAAAAGGTGAAGGGATTAAGAAGCACAAATTCATTGCTAGACTGACAAACCTCAAAGGGAAAGGGGTTGGGGGGTGGGAAGAAATAATCCAAAGAATTTATATGCATAACCAATGGACATAGACAATAGTGTGGGAAAAGGTGGGAGGGGGGTGGGAGTGGGGAGGAGGGGGTCAATGGGGGGAAAATGTGGAACATCTGTAATACATTTTCCATCCAACAATAAAGATTTGAAAAAAGCCATTTAGTGAGCATACAATACAGCATACAGATGTCAAATTATAAAGATGCACAAATGAAAATTATAGGATGTCACTGTCAACCAATGTCAACTCCAATAAATATAATTTTTAAAATAAAGAAAAATAAAAGCTTTTATGTTAAGAACCAACAATATTAGTTTTGCATTTTGGATATTCATTCAAGCCACACTAGCCAATGGACTAAAAAGGGTATGGGAATATTCTGGAGTTCCATAAGGCCTCGTCTTCAGGGCCCACGTACCCACCCCAGCTTCTAGAAATATTGGTTTTTGAAGGCTCACAGCTGAGTCCTTTAATGGGAATTGCCCCCAGCCACAGGGAACTATCCTTCCCAAGGGCAGACCCTCTCCCAGACAGCACCCATGACCATAACTAGCTAATGAGATACAAAGGCCCAGCCATCTTATCTCAATAAGGGACAAACTCAGCTCCTAAGCTCCCTGAAGGATTAGCTGAGGCCTCTGTTGTAACCATGTTGCTGGTCACTTCCTCTGTCCATTCCCACTCTATTAGTTCCCTATTGCTACATAACATCTTAAGACAAATGTGGTAACTTAAAAACACACATTTATCATCTCACAATGCCCAAAGTCAAGAGCCTGGACACAGCTTAACTGGGTCCTCTGTAATCAAAGTGTTAGCCAGACTGCATTCTTATCTAGAGATTTGATTCCACTTGTTGACAGAATCCGTTTTCTTGTGGTTGTAGGACTGAGGACCCCAGCTTGTTGCTAGCTGTTGACGAATTCAAGGCTGCCTTCAGTGCCAACAGGCGACCAGCAATTCCTGGAGGCTGCTCACAGCTTCCTTCATGTGGGCTTTCCCAACATGGCCACTTACTTAATCAAGTCACCAAGGAAAGTCTCTAGAACAAGTCTGCTCGTAAGACAGACCTAGAACTAATATAAAGTTATTGAGGAAGTGATGTTTTATCACATTTTCTGTATTCTATTCATTAGAAGCAAGTCACAGGTCCCATCCTCACTCCAGGAGTGCAGATAGCATGAAGGTATAAACATCAAGAAATGGCAGATACCTTAAAGTCTGTCTGCCACACTTGCCTTCCTCACTTCTTTGTTACAGGTGTATTTCCTGAGAGCGGGCCTCAATAAACCTTCTGCATGTAACTATCCATCTTAGAGTTGATATCCAGGGAGCAATACTGTTGGTAGGGAAGAGAGCTAGAAGACTGTTGCTATAACACCAACTATTGGCAACAGCAGTGGAGGACTGGACAACAAATTTTCTTTCTATTAATAAATGTATACTAATTATTATTAGAATTTAGAATGACACACAGTCTATCTGAAAGGAAAACCAATTTTAAAAATTACAAGGTGTCTTCAAGCAAGGATACACACAACAAAAATAATTCACTTCTAGGTCTACAGAACAGATTAAATATAACTAATAAAAATTAGGCTGTGTTTTACAGTGTGAAAATAAACCTCAGACCACACTCAGTCACATAATCAAAAGGAGATAATTAGCACTTTATTAAATTAGCATAGATTGTACTTTTACAAATTGCAGATACACTCAACAAATAGAGTTGCGCTATTAGACTTATAGAAAAGACATAAGCAACTGTTGGTATGATAACAGGATCAAATTCCACCTTGTTCATCAACACTCCCATTTTTATCCATCCCATTTACAATAATTACTTTAATTACTTTTATTCTTGCTTACTTAGTCATATACAGAGTATATAAACAATATTCATAATGATTTCCACACCATATTATGGGTAGTCTCCATTGGAAAAATATTTTTCCTTAGGTCTTCAGAGTATAAAATATATATAGTGGCCTGACCTTATTTCTGGAAATGCTTAAATATTGATGAATTTTTAAATCAGTGATTACAAATACCACATGACTACACTTACACACTATGTTGTCAGGGAAATATTTTAGAATATTCGAAGTAGTCAACAGCTTATGATTCCAATGGTTTTCATGGGTATAACTGATTGCCTTTAATTTTCACACACATTCAAAATTTCTTACAAAAGAATGGTGAAACAAAATATGTAATCTGTCCTTGATCATTTGTGATGCTCAACAGTTACACAGAAGCATGTGTTGAGTTTCTTGATAAGCAAAACAGCAGCCCTTCAAAGAGGGGTGAGCCGCTCATCCTCTGTCATGAAGGTGTCATTAATGTGCCATCCCTTCGTGTCCAGGGGGTCACAGGGGATGCCATTTTCAATTGTGATGGTGTTTTCACACTTATCTTCAGTGTCATCCACTTCAGACGGTCCTTTGTTCTTCCTAAATGCACATAAAAAGAATGATTGGGATCCAGGAGGAGAGAGCATGGTCTTTTGCACAAACAGGGAGAGCAGGAAAGGAAAGAGGAAACTTAGAAATGATGAAAAATTGATGCCTGTGTATTTTCAAATAAGTTTCAAAGATCATAAAGAGCTGATGCGGTAAAAAGATGCGATCAAGATCATAAGTCTGCATGGATGATATATACATATTGATCAAAACAAGTGGCCTTACTTGGAATACTAAAATAAATATATATGAATATGTATATGAATGTATATGATGTACCATTTATATTAATGAATATGTTTGTGTGTGTGTGTGTATATATATATGTGTGTGTGTGTATATATATACACATTAACACACATAACTTGCATTAAGAAATATTAGGAAAATGTATAGTAAATTGGCAAGTTAAAAAATTTGACTCTAGGAGAACAAAAAATTGAATTTAAAAAAGTAATACAGCCCTGGCCAGTTTGGCTCAGTGGTTAGAGCGTCGGCCTGCGGTCCAGAGAGACCCAGGTTTGGTTCCCGCTAAAGGCACGTACCTCAGTTGCAGTTTGTCTCCGGCCCTGGTTAGGTCATGCGGGTGGCAACCACTCGATGTGTTTTCATGTCGATGTCTCTCTCTCTCTCTCTCTCTCTCTCTCTCTCTTCCCCCCTCCCTCCCTCCCTCCCACTCAATCTGAACAAAAAAATGGAAAAATGTCCTCGGATGAGGATTAAAAAAATAATAATAATACATTGCTCTCACAAGATTTGACAAATTAATGGTCTGCAAATGTTGAGTGAAAATTAAATTGAAATGAGGTATCAAGAAGCAAACTCATGCCTGGCCTGTGTGGCTCAGTGGTTGAGCTTCGACCCATGCACCAAGAGGTTGCTGGTTTGCTTCCTGGTCAGAGCACATGCCCAGGTTGTGGGCCACATCCCCAGATTGTGGGCCACATCCCCAGGTTGTGGGCCACATCCCCAGGTTGTGGGCCACATCCCCAGAAGGAGGCATGCAGGGGGCGGCCAGTCGATGTTCTCTTTCATCCATGTTTCTATTTCTCCCTATCCCTTCCTCTCTCTCTAAAATCAATAAAGAAACATTAAAAAAAAAAAAGAAGAAGAAGCAAACTCACGTTACTTTGTAGAAAGGAAGTAACCATTATAAACTGTAGGTATTACTGTTTGGCTCTACTCATCACAAAACAATTGTGTCCATTTGTAAGCCAGGTTTTTTGGAATTCAGAGCACATTTTACTGATTATATTACAACTCATAGCTGAAATTCCAGATCATTCCAAAAAATACCCTATGACAAGATCATTTTTTCAAATGTATCTTTATTGTTGAAAGTATTACAGATAACTCCCTCTCTTCCCCCATTAACACCCTCCTCCCTGCTCCTGCCCCCTCCTACCTTTACTGCACTGTTGTCTGTGTCCATTGGTTATGTATATATGCATATACGTTCTTTGGTTTATCTCGTCCCACCCTCCCCACCCCACTTCCTTCTGAGGTTTGTCAGTCTGTTCCCAGCTTCCATGTCTCTGGATCTATTTGGTTTGTCAGTTTATTTTGTTCATTGGATTCCACATATAAGTGAGATCATGTGATACCTGTCTTTCTGTGACTGGCTTATTTTGCTTAGAAGAATATTCTCCAGGTCCCTTCATGCTTGACAGGATCAATTTTGAGTTTCTTATTCTCAGATGCTTTGTAGACCCTGGTACCCCAATCCAAATGGTAACCAGACTCTTAATATTTCCTTGGAGTGTGGAAAGCTGTAGCCCTTAAGTCAAAGGTTCTTTCTGTCTTTTGTAAGACCAAAACAGCTGAGCCAATTATGCTTGATATCACAGAAGTTGGGGTAAAAAATGAGAAGTGGGTACCTCTAGGCAACTACAGGGAGAAAGAGTTTCCCTAGGGCTTATCACAAGTTAGGTGTTGGGGCATGATGTTAAACATAAGGCTCCCAAACTTACCAAAGATTATATAGACCCAGGAATCTAAGAAAACTCCCAAGAGGCAGACCTGAATGGTTCTCATGGCTGGGATGATGGGCATTGCTGTGGTGACCAGGACAGACTCCCACCACTATGAAAGTGCCTTAGAACCTTAGTGAGTCTCTGGCAGGTGAGGAGGTAGTGAAGATGCCCCAATGATGACTGAGGTAGTTTCTTATAAGTCCTATATGAAACTCCATTTTAATATGCTTTAAAGACTATGGTGTAAGAAGAGAGAGCTCATGTTTACAAAAGAATGGCAGCTAATACAGAGGAAGTAACAGAAACAGAAAATCACTACTATAATAATACTTGATTCTGGTGAGTCTCATCAATGGATACTAAACAACTGAGTAAGAAATGGTTTGGGAACAGGACATTTACATGGTCTTAGTGTATCACCTCCATAAACAATGTACTAATTATAAAGAGACATTTGCATTTTGTCAAGGGAGGAATTTGGTGAACATCACCAACAACCAAGACAAATTGACAAGTGCCTATAGATCTGACACACTAAAATTACATATTACATATTTAATTCTGTGTTCTTGCCCCACCCCATCACCATTTTTTTTTTACCTTAATCTCTCAGGAGGATGTAATCAGAAAAATCAAAATCCAAATTTACAGATATTTTATAAAACAGCTGATCAGGACTCAGCACAGAGTAGGCTTAGAAATGGATGAACAGACACATGGGTGGCTTGCTAGCTAGTTATACAGACAGATGGATGAATGGAAGGATCAATGAATGTATATCAATGACTGAATGGCTGGATAATAAATTGATGGATGGATGGACTAATGCTATAGACAGTTACTCAGACAGAAGCCCAAGGTAGATCTTGAATTGGATCCACTGCAAGAAAGGAAGGAAGGAAGGAAGGAAGGAAGGAAGGAAGGAAGGAAGGAAGGAAGGAAGGAAGGAAGGAAGGAAGGAGGGAGGGAGGGAGGGAGGGAGGGAGGGAGGGAGGGAGGGAGACACATGTGATATTTCTTTTATCTCTTGTATTGTTATTTTTTCAAATGGGTGGAGGAAAATATTCATTATCCTACCTTAGGAATTAGGAGTTAGTATAGATTTTGCCAGGCTTCATTGACAGTTTAAAAGATCATTTCAAATAGCTGGAATTCATACTGAAAGATAAACTAGTATCTAATACTATAGATTCCACTGTCATCACTTGAAAGTATTGTGCCATTATACATGCCACTGTCAAATGTGTCATTGCAAACCCAATGCTGGGTTGACAGTTGGCAGTTATAGTCCCAGAAACCTAGGAAATGATAGGCTGCTGTGTTTTTCCATCCTTAGTGATCAGTGCAGATTGGGGTGGGCACAGATTTCCTGTGGTAAGAAGGTCCTCAAGCCAGGTGAAGTCACTTATCAGAGAATTAGAATACTTTGGCCCCTCCTCTTATAGACAGGAGTATCAGTACTTTCCATGTCCTACAGAAAGGAAAAGCAATTGACATTCTATAACCATCAATCACATCATTTCATTCATAGTATCCAACTTTCATTCAATAACTATGCTTTAAGTTATATGGGAAGAGACACAGTCCATATCCTCAAGTGAAAAGAAAGGATTCAATAAAAGGGCAAAACTCCAAATTTCACTCATGCTCCATCCTACCATTTTTATGGATTCTAAATAAATAAACAAGCAAATAAATAAAAATTAAACAGTCTAATCTTACCCTAAAATTTCTGTATGGTCATACTTAACATGGAGCAGTCTGAAGTAGATGGCAAATGCAACACAGTCTTAGAAATAAGGGTTGCCAGTGTTTATTTACCAGTTTCTTCACTTAAAAAAATGTTTTCATAAAGTTAGAAGAAAAAGTGCAGAGAGGAGAACACAAGCAGATCACAGCAAGAAATCTTGCCTCCCCCTCCTCAATCACAAAGGAAATCCATCAGACATCACAAAGAAATGGGGAGGAGCTAAAAGGGAAGAAGTAAACAGATGAGGACAAGTTTTTCTTCTTTAGAAAAAGGATTCCTCAACCAAAAAGACTCTGACTGAAACTGCTGTAGAAGTGCAGCAAACTGAGCTGTGTCAGTGGCAAAGTAGGTACATATTGTTCTTTTGTGACCTTACAGTTAGTTGTACAGAGTCTTAGTATTGCTGGGCATCACAAATTGCAGTGTCAGTAATGTGCTGACTAGTGGACATGATAAGCAGCTCAAAGGTTATCTTACAGTAGTAATATAGCACTTTGTCACGTTTCGTAGTGTGTACTGTAATAAACTGATTCACTGCCTGTGCATTGCTCTTACTAAGAATAATAAAACTTAACTGTCTTTATGAATCATTCTGATTTGATGTTCTGCCAAAAACATGAATTCTTTATCCTGAAAAATAAAATGGAGTGTTAATGACTTCCGCTGTTCCTGCAATTTCAGGTAGTTCAGGAAGAGGATTTTTTTTTTTTAAGTGACTAAAATACCTGAAACTACCTCCTAGGAGCCTTGAGAATGAATAATCTCCCACAGATCCAAACAGAAGAGGGGACAAAAGAAGTATCAAAGTATCGAGTAGCCCTTAGAATTAGGTGGGCTTAATGAATAGGGTTTGCTCCAGATAAGGTAGTGGTGGCTAAAAACAGAAAGAATACTTCTGTCTTCCTTCATCAAGACAGGGCTGAAGAGCCAAGGCCCAAGAATAGCCAGAAAAACAATAGAGAACAGACAAATATGATTTTTAAAAACAGAATCAATTATTGGAGAACTAGGAATGTCCTCATAATCAATAGGGATGATTCCTGGGGAAAATTATCTTGCTGGAACAATTTCAGTGGGCATTGCATCACAGTGAGATCGTTGGGCTTTGGGATCAACCCCATCTGGTTTTAAATAATGATACTAATATTTTCTAACTATATGACCATAGGCAGGTCACTTTATATCTGCCATGTAATAGCAATAATAATAATTTAAAAAATAATAATAATAAGTATCTATTCCATGGCAGAAACCAGTGCTTTGCATACATCATCTCATTTAATTCCCAGTGCAATATTATGAAGATTGTAAAAGTATCCCTCTTTTTCAGATGAAGGAGTTCACATTCGAATATATAAATTGTCCTTCAGAATGGAACAAGATTGGTGAAAGGAGTAGATCTAGAACTCCAGTCTCTCAGTCTTCACTCAAAATACATATTTGATTCCTATTGAGTATGTATATTTTTTCCTTTTATTTATTATTTATTTATTTATTTTTAATTAATTAAGTTACTTATTTTGTTACAGATGTCCGTGCTTTTTCCCCACTGACACCTTCTTCCCTTCTCCCATGCCCCCACCCCACCTTCACAGTATTTCCTGTGTCCATTAGTTATGCATATATGCATGTAAATTCTTTGGTTTATTTTTTCCCACCCCACCCCCACTCCCTTTCCCTCTGAATTTTGTCAGTCTGTTTCTTATTTCCATGTCTCTGGGTCTATTTTGTTCATCAGCTTATTTTGTTCATTAGTTTCCACAAATAAGTGAGATAATGTGATATTTGTCTTTCTCTGTCTGGCTTATTTCACTTAGCATAATACTCTCCAGGTCCCTCCATGTCGTCTCAAAGGATAAGAGATCTTTCTTCCTCACAGCTGCATAGTATTCCATTGTGTAAATGCACTACAGCTTCTTTATACACTCATCTACTGATGGACACTTGGCATATGTACATTTAAAAACAGTACAGAAAAAATCAATTATTAGCTCTAAAATTTCTGCAACAATTGGGGAGCTAGGTAAAAAATACTATTTTCATTTTCCATATGTGACCTACTCAAGGTCACTCAGCTAATAAATGCCAGAGCCTGAAACTGGAACCCAAAACCAAGACACATCAAATCATGAACATCATCACCATTACCAGGATCACATCACCCTCACTATTATAACCATCATTGTCAACATCATCATCTACCATCACCATCACCATTATCACTACCATCACCATTACCATCATCATCATCATCACCACCACCACCACCACCATCATCATAATGCTGACAACAGAACTAAAATATCTACTTCTGGACTGGGGCTAGACACAGATCTAGTAGAGGCATCATTGTGAAGTATATGCAGTTCATCTTGTCTCCCTCAAGACTAAAGGTTTTGGGGGCAAATCATATCTTTTCCATGATTAGAAAGGGCTTTCATCACAATTATCAGGGTTCTCCCCACTTCAAACTGCACCCTCTCCTCACTTTGAAGTAATACTCTGTGCAACACAAACCCACCACAGATTGTATCAAATTTAAAACACAACAAATCCATTTATCTTCAGAACATTGTCATAATAGTCCTGACTATATTTGCTAATTATTGATGCTCTCCAGGCTTACAAAGACATTTGTCCATCTGTTTTCCTAGTTTGAACATGAAATGAATTTGTAAAGGCAAAGCTGTGACAACAGCCTCACTTCTCCCAGGCAACAGATTATGATGCTACACACCCAATTACTATATTACTATAGAATCTGCTCAGAAGGAAAGAGATCGCTGATCCCAGCACAAACTAGCTGAAAGGCCAGCAAATGGCAGGATAATAAAATAATAGTAACAGCTAACACTTATTGAGCGCTCACGGTATGCCAGGCACCACTCTAAGCACTTTACTATATTAACTCTTTTAATCCCACCAAGTTAATTATTTCCAGTATACCTTGCTGTCAATCTAGCAAAGTTATCTATACACAGAGGAAAAGAAACTTAACCAACTTGACTCCAGAGCCACAAATCCTATTCTCCTGAGCTTGATTTCCCTGACTCATTGCCTGTGCTTCCTGATATCCATATAGTTAATGGATTATATATAAGAGCAGAATTAGGTGATAAACACTTGGAATCTAAGCAGTGTATCTCCAGAGTCCATTTTTCTAACTTCTATACTATATTGTCCTAGTGAAAAAATTGGAAAACAAGAAGTCAATTCACAAAGGTTACAATCAATAGAAACCATAGAATTATAGCACTTTACGATTAATACAAAACTTAAAAATACTAAATGTAGGTATGCAATATTGCAAGAGAGTATGTCTTAATATTTTTTAAAAGATTTTTTACATTTTTTATTGACTTTAGAGAGAGAGGAAGGGAGAGGGAGAGATGGAAACATCGATGAGAGAGAACATTGATTGGCCACCTCCTGCATGCCCCCCACTTGGGACTGGGTCCACAACCTGGGCATGTGACCTGACCAGGAATTGAACTGGCAACTTCTTGGTGCATGGGTCGATGCTCAACCACTGAGCCACACTAGTTGGGCTCTTAATATTTTTTTAAAATCATAACAAATAACTTGCACCAAGTCTCTTTGCATCACATGTCATGCCAAGCTCAAGAAAATCAAGCAAGCTCAACTTGATCTTAATATTTTAGTTGAATTCGGGGATTAGACACAAATTTATTCCACAGCATTTCACTTATCATTTGTGAAAAAAATTACAAAGCCCACAATTTAAAATGATTCCCTTCTGTTAGTAACTAATGTGAAAAATGGAAAGTAGTAAACCTCAGGAGAAACAATTAGTTGAATATACACGTGGCCAAACACATCTCACATGTCCTATCTGGGCATCAACCCTTTTGAAAGCAATGCATATCTCACTTACCAGAATTCCACTTTTTTGGTATCAGAAGGAAAGGTTTAGAAGCACCAAAATGTCTGGTGAAGAGTTGAGGCCTTCCTCCACTTCCCCTCTAGGTCAGAGTTACTTGTAAACAAAGTGCTCTCCTTTCATCATGCTGAGAAATCCTGTCTCTTCTCCCCCTGCCCCACAACCTTAGTAACTCTCCCACTGGTCTGAAATTATCTCTTGAAGTAATTTCAGTCATTGAGACAACAAAATTTGCAAATGTCCCAGAATCCAGGTAAATGAACTGGAGAAGTGGGAATCTATACATAAGTTGCTAAATTGGAAGCTCTCAAACTAAGTGAGTTAGAATAACCTGAATATTCATTAAAATGCATCCCACTCAGAGAATCTAATTTAGTCAGTCTGTGATAGAGCCAAGGAACCTACATTTGAAACAAGTGTTCCAGGTGAGTCTGATGCAGGGAGTTGATTCAAAGGCCACTTTGAGGAACACAGTTCTACATCATATTATAAGCACTAGAGGGATGAGTGTCCACCAAAGGGAGGAAGTATAAAACAGCAAAAAAGCATCCAGGACAAGATGGCAGCTGCAGGCACTGGGCCAAGAAGAAGCAGGCCAAGGTGGAGAGGCATGGAAAGAACTGAGGAACTGCTAGCATTTGGAGGTGGGTGACTATCAAAGATTAATTCTGCCTACCCAAAAAGTCTGCTTATCACTGTATATACAGCTTACAAAATCATAACACAGATATTAAACTTGACTCTGGATATGTAACATTCAGATGGTGCAGAACAGAGAGAATGATGGTAATGGAAAGAGCCATAATTAAGTAAGAAACACTGGACTCCAAAAAGCCTCTAAAAACAAGAACATAAGTATTATTTTTAAAACCACCAACTTTTTTCAAAGTTTCAGATATAAGGCATTATCTTCAGGTAGGAGCAAATCCTCTCCTTTTTTTTCCAAGTCACGAACAAATAGAAAAACACTCTTTAAATCATTCTCTTTCAATATCTTACCTTCTACGTTGCCGGATTCCTGATAAAATCAATAGTGTGATTGCAACTATGACAATACAAAATACCACACCAAATATAATAATCCAGATGGGCACAGATGGGTCAGTGGGTGGTGCAAGAGTAGAAGGAATTTTTAAAAATTCCAGAGTCTGGTCATTCAAAGAGAAGGCATTGTTGATCCGGTTCCTATTCATTCTAAAATACAATGACAATAAAAATGAACAAAATAAGACAGGGGGAAAAGAATACAGAAGATGCAGACCTATCTCTCCATGATTATAACTCTTTGTATAAACAGAGCATCCTCTTAGAAAGAGACTTCAGGTTCAATAGACAGTTTGAGGAGGGTAATTATGCTATGGTATTCTTTTCATAAATTGCTGTGCTCACTGCCAAAACAGGTGCTCTTCTATGCCCTACTGCCCTCCGTTGTTACAAATGTCCTAGAAGTAACTAGAAGTCCTGAACTTTCAGCTCTGCCCACCATGTTTTATTTCCTGAGAGGTAGCATCTAGATTAAAATGACAGGACTCTATTTAAGGTGATTTACATAAATACCAACTGCCCCCAAATATATGTTAAAAAGTGGGTGATGAACATGAGAATAAAACTAGGAAGAGGGAAAAAAATAAATCAAGGAGCAGCTGCAAATCCATCAATTTGATCTTTTTTCCCCCCATTAATTCAATAATCATTTGTGGAAAACTTACTAAGTACCAGATACTGTGCTAAGTGCTACAGATATAAAGTGAAATAAAAATACTAAGGACCTTACTGTCTAGAAGAATGACTGATCAACCCCTCTACAATCATAGTGCAATGCAAAATTTTCTATGGAAGAGGCAAATATGGGCACAGTGGGGGAGTACAGCAGAGGGCTAAGCACATTATAGTGAGAAGTCAGGGCTGCTTTCCTGAGAAGGCAAGTTTTGAGCTGTGCTTTGAGGAACAAGTAGGAGTTCTTTATACCACAGTGTGTCATGAACACAGGAATGGAGACACGGTAATAGTGTGATTTTCTCAGTAAACTGCAAGCAGTTCCATATAATGAAAGTAAATGGTGCCTTAGGAGACCAAAAGTCTAGGAAACATAAAGGTAAATGGGCTACTTTTCCTGGGGGAAATCTGCATTTTTGGTGGTGGTAGCAGTTAGGGAAGGCTTGGTAGCAAGGACTTATTTGGCTGAAACCAAAAAAGTTCACTTCTAACTGAAATTTGAAAACTATATAAGATTTCTTGGAGATATTGTATGGCCTTTACCGAATTCACACTAGACAAGTTGACTTCATCTACCTCTAGAGCAACCCTAAAAAATAGAGATATGATGTGAGTCTCATGTATGACATAAAATTTTCTAGGAGCTGCATTTTTTAAAAGTAAAAAGATACAAGTGAAATTAATTTTAATGATATATTTTGCCCAATATATCTAAGAAAACATAATTTCAACATATAATCCATATTGACTTAGTTCACATTTTATTTTGTACTGTCTTTGAAATTCAGTGTTCTTTACACTTAGAGCATATCTAATCCTGGACTAGCTACATTTCAAGAGCTCAATAGCCACATATGGCTGCTGACTACTAAATTGAACAGTGTGGGCCTTGAACTTGACAGTAAAGGCTTGGAAATCTCTGCAGATCTGTACCAAGCTATCAGGAAAGACCTCCGTTAGCAAATAAAATTTATGCTGAGGCATGATTATTCATGAATATAAAGGAAAATCTCAACCAGATAATCTACAGCAGGGAATAATTTCAATGTAATTTTTACCAAACTATATGATGTTTTCTTTTTTAATGACCTAATACTGATAACCTGGGAACACAAACCTTTCCATAAAATAGTGAATCCCACTACTAAAGTCTAAAGCAAAGTAAAATGAAAAGTTGTTCTGCATTCTCATTCTATCTACCGGATTGGCTAACACTTTGCTATTCTGTCACCTCTCAGGCTGATTAGAAGTTCTAGTTCGGTACAGACTAAACCTCAGTCCACCACTAAAATCCCCAACAGTAATCAATCAACAAGAATGTCTTCTAGCCATGATTGGCCTTGAATAAGCGCAGGCCCTCACAACACAGCTAAAATACACATCTTAGAACTGGTCAGTCATTCCCTTACCTAATTCGACATGTGTAAACACTCTAGTATAGAGAGAACAAAATCACTGGACGTGGTGGCAGCATGCCTGAGTTCAAGTCCTTGCTGTTTATTTTTCTAGCATGGTGGCCTTAGCAAATCAATCTCCCTGAGCCCCATTTTCTCATTTATAAACGAGGAATAAAAATAATGACTCAAAAATGACTAGTGTTGGTATTCAATGCCACAGATGCATTAGAACATGCCCGTGAATCAAAAAGTGTTATGCAAATATTAGGTGAAACTAGTATTTTGCCAAACCAAGGAGATTCTTCAGCCTTGAAATTCCTCTTATCTGTGCTCTAAGTACCACCTCCTTCTTTCCACTCCATCCTTCCCTCCTGGTATTATTTTTTTTATTTTCATACGATCCTGATGAGCCCTATCCATTCCCTGACATAAATTCCCATTCTATTAGCCATCCTCATGCCCTGAATAGTTTCTTCTGCTATTTGAAACAGACATTTTTGGGGGAACATATTCATCTACATCCTTGACCTTCATCCCAAACATTCACTCTTCCTCCCCACACAAACTGAAGCCTGGTTTAACCACAGTGCCTCTACTGCCCTTGTAGCCCTCCCAAATCACAGGGCTTGAATAAAATCCCTTTTCACATGAAATATGATATTCCTAATTCTTATTACCTAAGTGGTGGGTCTTAGCAGTATTTTTAGTAGCAAAAGTGTAGGAACAATTTAATTCAAACCCTCTTGTTAGAGCAAATTAAATCATTTCCGGTTGGTATAGATCATCAATGACTGCTTCAGCAAGGGAAATAGATTGTTCACACAAAACCTTTGGTACTTGATTATATGCTCATTATCTTAAATGTTAATATTTTACAGAAAGCAAATGAGTTATTTCACTAGGTATTTCTCCTTTGTAAAGAGAACAATAAGCATTTTAGTAACATATAAATCCTTTGCAAAGAGAGGTACTTTGTTTCATTCTTTCTTTTTTGGGAAATAGTTTGTTTCTTTCAATATACCTTTGCCCAGTGTCAATCATGTGTGGGATTTGAAGTTGTGACACATGAAGTGCACAGTAATTGAAATAAAAACAAACTGTATCCTTCTGCTTCTCTGAAGGAAAGACTACATTTCACTTTTGAAAGTTTGTTATGATCACAAGGAGAGGAGGAGGGGAACTGTCAGGAAACATTATAAATCTTGAAATGGGTAAAAAATATCACTGAGTATTTGGCAAGAACACCTTTCTGGACATTTTCTACCTTTTATTGTTTTGAGTTATTTTGCAAGTCTGCAAGTTGTATATAAAACTAACGTAATGTAAATTATTCCTGTCCACAGAAAATCAAGTGAATTGTGTTTGGTGGGACACAATTGATGACTACCTGATGAATAGACTGGTGACTCTTTTTATAAATGAACATCACCATTCCTCGATTCCTGTGTATGCATGTTTTCTTGAAGTCTCCTTTGAACAAGTTTTAACATTTTACTAGTTTCCTCATTAATCAAAGAAATAATATGGTTTTTGATAGCATTTATTTATTTGTACGAATCATAATTTTATTTTTTTAAAGGTCTCTTTTACAAATTGGTAGTCACAAAACAGTCATGGGGATGTAAAGCACAGCACAGGGAATACATTCAATAATATTGTAATAACTATGTATGGTGCCAGAGGGGTACTAGAAATATAGAGGAGACCACTCTGTAAAGTATATGATTGTCTAACCTGAAATACTGTACACCTGAAACCAATACAAAATAATATTAAATGTAAACTGTAATTAAAAATTAAAAGGCATCTTTTAAAGGTAAAAACTGTACATTGACTAAGGAAGGTAAGTTCTTAGAGACCCAAAAAATGTGAATATTTTTATGGTTTTAAAATAAAAGTCAGTTCCGGCCAGTGTAGCTCAGTGATTGAGCATCGATCCATGTACCAAGAGGTGGCCAGTTCAATTCCCGGTCAGGACACATGCCCAGGTTGTGGGCCTGATCTCCAGTGGGGGGGCATGCAGGAGGTGGCCACTCGATGTTCTCTCTCATCGATGTTTCTCTCTCTCCCTCTCACTTTCTCTCTATCTAAAACCAATAAAGGAAAACAATATTAAAATAAAAGTCAGAGGTATGACATGTGCCTCAATACACCTTACATTTAATCTTCTCAACAACTGTGAGAGAGGGGTATCATAATTATTCTCATTTTATAAATGATTAGAGAAAACCAAAAGGGGAGAAGTAATTTGTCTATATTCAAATAATTAGCAAGAGGCAAAACCAGAATTAATAACCTGAAGTACTCGGTCTCCAGAATCCATGTGATGAACCATCACAATAGTTGTGTACAAGGTGTTCTTGCTAAAAGAAGACAGTACTAACCATTCTTAGCTAATATTTAAACCAGGGTCTCTCAACCACAGCACAAGTGACATTGGGGTCAAATAATTCTTTGTTGTGAGGTGCTGTCCTGGGCATAGTAGGATGTTTAGCAGCATCCCTAATTACTGCCTGGTGGCCATCTCCCTCCTTCCCCTAACTATGACAACAAATATGCCTGGAAACATTGCCAAATGTCTCTTTGGAGGCAAAATTACGTCTGGATGAGAACCACTGATCTACATTAATCTCTAATACAAACAAAATAAAATCTTTGATACCTTATTTAACAAATATTGTGATGCAGAGATAAAATTCTTTAATGCCTATGAAAAGAGTTCAATTAACCAACAAGTTGATTTACTGGTAGAAGGCAGATTTTTCAGTGATTACCTTATTGCTGACTGTATCTCATCAGCAGGAAGGGTGTGGTTATTCACAGGATCTATAACCACAAACCAGAATGACACCCGCTGGGTTACATTGCAAAGTAGGACATGGGAAATACTGCAGATAACAAAAAGAAGAAGAAAAAGAAAAAAACATTATAAGTAAATAATACCAAATTTCATTAAACCATCCACTCTGGTGTAATCACCATTTTAAGAGATGTCTTAGCAATAAATGAAAAGTCATTTCTACCATTATGAAGAAAGGTCTTACAATCAGAGAAAGACAAATATCACGTAATATCACTTATTTGTGGAATATAATGAACATAGAAGCTGATGAACAAAATAGACCCAAAGACAAAGAAGTAGGGTACAGACTGATAAACCTCAGAAGAGGAAGTCATGGGGGAGGGAAGAGATAAACCACAGAACTTATATGCATGTATGCATAACCATGGACATAGACAACAATGCTGGGGACTGGGGAGGGGGGGTCGGGAGGAGGGTGTCAATGGGGGTAAAAGGAGAAATATCTGTAACAAAAATAAATTAATAAAAAAATTAAAAATAGAAAAAAAGAAAGACTGTGGTCATCCCCACAGTAGTTTTTTTTTTAAAAAAGAATAAAATTATATAGGAAATTTCCTTTGTTTCAAACTCATGCACCTGAGGACCATTCCGTTAATTAGAGACCTACCAAAAAATAAAAACAAGAAGGTTACTTAGTAGAGAGTTTTCGAAACCTCATTCTCCATCACCTGTTAGCTGATAGCACTCCTGGCCCCCAAACACCTGGCCTCTCTGAACCACAGAAGATTCTCAGATACAGATAAATCCATTGTCCACTCTTGATCCAATAGTTGCTCTTGATGGCCACTATTTCTGTCCCTCTCCCACTACAGTATTGGAGCAGGACCAATAACAGATTTCCAAACTGAAGAGCTATAATCGGTTTACCATAAGCCTATGAACACCGACTTTGCATTTACCTGCTTTCCAACTATAACTGAGAAATGTGCCTCTCTCTACTAATATACATGGATTACGAGTAGAAATGACAAGAAATAAATGGTATTAGTGTTTAGACTGGAGGTGATCTATACATGAATGTATGAAGTTTATGAAAGTTGAAAATTATCTGAGAGTCCATATTAAATCAACATTGTTGGGGCTAAAACATAAAATCCTGAATGGTTTTCATCACTTACTAAAGAGCAAAATCTCAAAAAGTGACATTAGCAACCATTCTAGAAGGATAAAACATGAATCCCCTTTCTACTAAAAGTAAATCCATTGTTTTTCCTTAAAATAGAATACAAGTATATGATGTTCATTTTTACCATAATAAAAGAAAGTGTCCTTCTATCACGTTTTTGTACATTTCAGAAGCCAGTAGAAATTGTTATATTTTCTCCCTTTAAATGTCAAATACAGAAGTCAAGCCCTCCCCCGCCCCTCTGCCTAGAGCCAAGGCCTGGGGCCAGCAGTGAGAAGCTGGAGGCTTCCTTGGCCTCAGAGAGCAGGGGGCATTCCAAGAGGTTACAGTGTGTGCAGGGTGCAGGCCTAGTACATGCAGGACCCAATACACAGAGGCTTCCCACAGGTCAACACCCCACCCACTGTCCTTGCACCCTCATACCAACCGTCAGCCTAGCCCTACCCACTTAGAATCTCTAAACAGCAGGAATGTCTGGGAGCCAAATCCCCCCTGGACGATGCCAACCCTGCTGCCCCACAATCATGGGCAGCTACTTGAGCAGCTAACTGGGAAGGTACCTAAGCACAGATTCATAAGATAGGATTTCTTCACACCCACTTTCTCCACCTTGGCACTGTTAACATCTGGGGCCAGATACTTTGTTGTTTGTTGGATGCTGTCCTCTGCATTGTAGGGTTTTAGCAGAATCCCTAGTCTCTACCCTCTAGGTGCCAGCACCATACCTACATTGTGAAAATAATGTTATTGCCAAATATTCCAGGGGGGAGGGGAGGAGGGGGGAGGTTTGGAGGCTTGTGGGGGGGGGAGAGAGAGAGAGAGAGAGAGTCACACTGGTGGAAAACCACTGAGGGACAGTGACCTCTACTGGCAGAAACAGTCAAGCTTGGTCTCCCAAAATGTGTGATTTTACAGTATATCAAAGTTACAGAGATGAACAAAATGAAGTGGTGCGTGCCTGGCAAAAATATTTCCCCCAATCTTATAGAATGCTGTAGCATGTGAATTATTCATGGTTTTGCCCTTATTAATAATGAGACAGTGTAAAGGTTTTTTTAAAAATGGGTTACTCATGTAAACTCTTCAGGTTGGCAAAAGTTAAAAAGTAAAATAGCAACAAATGCTGGTAAAGATGCAGAGAATTGTAATTTCAGGCAGTGCTTTGGGTGTCAGTGGGTTCAGCCATTCTGGAAGTGTCTCCTAGAACACTGTGCAGATACCAGCAAATCTGGGGGTTGGGAGGTGGGCGCAGAGAGAGAGAGAGAGAGAGAGAGAGGGAGGGAGGGAGGGAGAGAGAGATATCAGTGAGGATGTTCTTTGCTGAACTTTGTCAGAGCTGAGAATTGGAACAGCCTCAATGTCCACCAGTAGGGGGATGGATCAAGCAAATCTGGTATGTGCTGTCAAACAAGCACTAGTCCACAGATTCAAGGGAACAAAGAGCCCAGGGCATCTGGACTACTGAGCCACACAATTCTGTGTTGGACGGCTGTGCTGTGCATTGCAGGATGTTTAGCAGCAAACCTGGCCACTATGGAGCAGTTGTCATTAGGCCACCACCAGTAGTGACAATCAAAAATGTCTCCAGGCGCTGCCAAATATCCCCTGAAGCACAAAAGTCACCCCTAGAGGGAAGCTACTGAACTAGAGCTACACATTTTTAAATAAAAGGCTACATCTCAAACTTACGCTAGTGAATGGAAAAGGTGGCAGGTGTAATGTTATGTGTAGCACATGACATTTATACAAATTAAACAAATACAAAGTAACACTGCTGGCATAAGAGAGGGGGCCAGGAGCCAGGTGAGAGGACATTTGGACACTTGCCTATTTTCCTTTCCATCTAAAGTCTCTTTAAATAATGCTCAAACATGAATTTCATGGTATTTTTCTTTAGATAGTCAGAGAATATGCTGTAAACAAACCAAAAAGAAAAAATCCCTTCCTTCTTGGAGCTTGATTTCTAAAGGGGTGGAGACAGAAGCTAACCAAATAAATAAATACACATGCTGCCAGTTGGGGAGAAGTAGTATAAAGAAAAATAAAAGAAGAGGAATACATATATTCCACCAACACAACGGTGGCCACAAATGCTTCCCTCTGTCTCCTTCACCATGGAACTACACTGTCCTTACTATAAATTCAAGTTATTTATTCAGTGTTTATTCTGCATGCCAACTCATGCTTTAATATAGCACCTCGGCAAATAAAATTAAATTATTTTATCAGCTTCGAAATAAAGATTTTCAAGAGATTAAAATGCTGCTGAAAATACTAAACCCATCATTTTCAATGAAGACAGTTACTGTTAGATACAAATAGTCTTGGATTGAAACTCTACAGATAAAGCTTTTCTTTGGAAGATTACTTCCTGTCATTTGCTAGACTTGAGACTAGGCATTTCACTCTAAATGGGTTACTAGAAAGGGTTTGAGACCTTAGCCTGTCAATGAGAGTGCTGCTGGCATTTTGAGTAGGAAATTCTTGGTTATGTGGAAATGTACTGAGATTGGTACCACATTGATTATCTCTCATCCCCACCCTCTAAATACCACAACAATCTCCAGTCATAGATATAATCCAACAAAACACCACATTTCCAAATGCTACCTGGATATGCTACCATTATTACCATACCCAGATGAGAAATGCTTATAAATCTCTTCAGATGTGTCAAGGTCATAAAAAAAAAAAAACAAAACCAAAAAAAAACAAAGTAAGATAGAGAAACTATCAGATTGGATCAGCCTAAAGAGGAATAGATTCTAGAACAGAATAGAACATTAGTCCAAAAGAGGGAAATCTGAAAAATTGCCATAGTTTAATAATATAAAGCCAATATCAATTTCTTAATTTTGATATATCTACCATGATTATTTAGCATAATAACATTAGGAAAATGGGTGAGGGTCTAGAGTAGAAATTTTCAACCTCAGTGCTATTAAATTTTAGGCTGGACAACTCTTGCTTGTGAGAAGCTGTCTATTCTTTTGAAGGATGTATAGGATCATCCCTAGGCTCTACACACTTGATGCCAAGAATGCATCCAACTGTAAAAAAACAAAATGCCTCCAGGCATTTCCAAATGTTCTCAGAATCAGGGGAGGGAAAAATAGCCTCAGGATGAGGACTACTGGTATGCAAAATCTCTTTGTATTATCTTTGCAACCCTTATGTAAATGTATTTTTTCCCCAAATTAAATACAAACACATACACATACAGGAGCAAAGTAGTTATTTTTAAAGTTCCCTGGGCACACTAAAATGATCTACAAGAACACAATAAGGCAATGGATTAATAATAGTTCTTCCTGGCTTCATTGATAAAGAAATAACAGATGTGCATATATTTAAAAAACAAGGAAGAACTGTATTCAAATGCAAGATAATGGCATCTGTCAGCATAAGGGTGCCTTTAATACTATGGACATTTTTTTAAATGTGTTATGTTGTGTATTCAACAGTATCAAGTACTTGTTAGGATACCTCCCACTGTATTAGTGTCTTAGGAAGTACCATTTCCATCATTTACCCAAGACTGATATTAGCAAAAAAGGTTAATACTTTTAGGCTGCTTAGGGTCTTCTTCAACAAAATACTAAGTATTCCTCCTGCATGACGCTTCTGCCAAGAAAAGTAAGTCTGAGATGTTAAACAACAAGAAAGTCAACTTGTGTTCAACAAATACCAACCATAGAAATATAATTGCAGAGATGTGTTTATATGTTGGTCAGATATAGGCAGTTGAACTAGTAATGAGTAAGCCCACCTCCTAAAGTAGTTAGGTGGGGGGAAGGACCAGGGGAAGCAAACCACTGTTTCTAGAGGGAGCTGCAAGGCAAAGGTCATAGAAGGTGGAGACACACATGGACTGGGGCTTCCTCCTGGTTTGCATGATG